CGACACAGAAAATCTCTCGAAAAACTTATGCTATATTCTGTTCTCACGCTAAAGAATACAACTTCACTTTTTGTTTTATGTTGTTCTTATTTTTGTCCTCGGAAGCATAGGTCTCGGAGCCAGGCCTGCTATTCCCTTCGATTTTAACGCTAAGTCTTATTTTTAATCTAATTTATTTATCATTTTGGATCAAATCAGTTCGCTTGTCTATAAACACATTACAAATTCGACTGTATCGTTTTACGACTAAATAAATGTAAGCTTTCGTTCACCGTGATGAGCTGATTTCTTAACTCTTTGTTTTTTGCTTCTTAAGATAAGCAATATTGTTGTTCTTCTTTGTTCATTAATTTACAGATCATATATTCTCAAGAATGTTTTTTTTAAAGTATATTAACCCAAAAATACTTCCAAAGAGTGTTATATATAGTACGCTAATGCATGCTCATGGACAAAATTGTTATGATTCTACATAAGAAAAAGGAATAGAAATAATGTATAAGGTAGTAGAGAATCAACCAACCACTACAAAAAAACATGTGCCTAAAAGGAAGGAATTATACTCGTGAAAGGAAGCAGATTTTAATGGTGCTGTTTAAGAATTAGATGGTCAGGCTATTTAGTTTAATTCTTTTTTTTATTTTATTTGCGTAAAAGTAGCATAGACTTTGATAACGTGAATATGAAGAAGAAACACTTTCTTTTTGCTTTTTTTATTTTCAAAACTAGGTTATTGCAATCTTTTCTATTAGATTTATTAATCAAGTTTTTGCAATTGAAACAAAATACAATTTTTTCCAATATTGCCGTGTTAGAATATATGTTTGGTAATTGTTTGTGTAAAACATAAAGGAAAAGATAAATGCATCCTCACCATCTAATTCTCGAACGGTGATATTAGGGCTACCATTGAAGTCTAATGGAGCAATTTTTCATTAATTTTACTATTTTACTTTTGTATTAACAGTGATTCGAGTTTGACACACACATATATATATATAATGTTCAAAAAGAAAAAAAGTTGAAGAGAAGTACAGGTGATAGAATAAATAAAAGATCAAGCAAACAAAGTGGAACAAATCTAGTAATGAAATAGTAACCAAAACTCCTAAACTATACTAATAGGAACTTAGCTCAAAATTACAATTTCTAATAACCGGACTAATACTCAAAAACAGAATTACAATAAGAAGTACTGGAAGTAGATAACTAGGGATGATAGAGAAGGAGACGGGGAACTAGAAGAAAAGATGGAGAAAATAGAGAACACTCTTATCAATATTTGTCTGTTGCTTTATACTCTTTTGCCTAACCAACTTTGTCCTTATTCACGGGACCACCACCTTTCCATACGTAATCTCCAAGTCTTTTTGAAAGAATAATTCTTCTAAAACTCCTACGTGTCTTATCCATGTGACTATCCTTCGTGGCATCTTTGTGCTTCCCAGTCAGCTATCTCAGTCACAACATTACTCCCTCCCTGTAAATCAACCTTGTCCTCATGGTTGAGGTTGGCATAATTATCAGATGATGCAACATCACTCAGCTGCAAAGGAGTCACTTGCTTCTCCGGAGTTCCAACGCATCGCTTCAACATGGAGACATGAAAAACTGGGTGTTTCTTGGCAGCTTCAGGCAACTCAAGGCGATATGCGATGGCCCTAATACGCCTTAGCACCTTGTAAGGTCCAAAATATCTCCTACCTAATTTCTGATCACGTTGTAAATGCAGAGTGGGCTGCATGTAAGGCTTCAACTTAACATACACCATTCTCCTACCTTAAAAGATATGTCAGTGCGTGACTTGTCAGCTAAAGCTTTCATGCGATTTTGAGCTTTTAACAAATTGTTCTTGAGTATTTGCAGCACCTTGTATCATTGTAGTAACTAACTTTCCACCAGTTCACTCGCGATGCTACCCAAAATATATCGAGCAATGGTAGGTGGATCACGACCATACAAAGCCTGAAAAGGGTTCATACTTGCAGAAGTCTAGTAAGAAGTGTTATACCAGAATTCAGCCCACGACAGCATGGTGATCAAGAGAGAAGGTACCTCTGTCAAATTGCAACATAAATAATCTTCCACACATTTGTTAAGAGCTTCTGACTGTCCATCTGTTTGAGGACGATAGGCAGTGCTGAAGACCAAAGTTGAACCTTGAAATCGATTTATCTCTTACCAAAAGAATGCAGGAAGCTCGGGTCCCGATCAGTCACAATGGTGCGAGGAAGTCCATGGAGCCTGATTATACCTACCACAAAAGTTTTAGCCACTGTATGAGCTGAAAAAGTCGAAGGTAGCCGTACTTTGTGAGACGGTCGACCACAGTCATAATAGTGGTCTTCCCTTTGGAACTATGCAGGCAAGTGATGAAGTCCATAACAATATCTTCAAAGACCTGATCCGGGATGGGCAGGGGTTACAATAGACTTACAAGGTGTAGATGTGAATCCTTCATCTGTTGACATATGTGACAAGTAGCGACAAATGCGTGTATATCCTTGCGCATCTGCCTCCAAAAGAAATTAGAAGTCAGGGGATGGTAGGTGTGTGCGATCCCAGCATAGCCACCAATAAATGTGGCATGGAACTCATAAATTAGTTGTTGGCATAGAGTAGAATCTAAGGGAAGCACTAGTCGACCCTTACAGAACGTATGCCTTCCTTGAACTCGTAGTCAGTATAAGCCATATTTCCTTGGTTTACTGCCTATTGAATCGCAATGAATTCAGGGTGGGTTTGATTCAATTGCTTCAGATCTTGTTCAAGGTTAAAAGTTTGGACTTAAAGCAGTTTCGGAATGATGAGACAAGGCATCAGCTGTAGAGTTCTGTTGGCCAGGCCCGTACAAAATATGAAAGTCATAGCCGACCATCTTAGTGAGCCATTTTTTTTGTTCAGGTGTTTGGATTGTTTGAGTGGTCAGGTTCCTTAAAGATTGCTGATCACTAAAGATGGTAAATTGGCATCCCAGAAGAAATTATATCCATTTACTCACTGCTTAAGTAATACTCCCTCCGTTTCAATTTATGTGAACTCATTTGACTGGGCACGGAGTTTAAGAAAAGAAAGAAGACTTTTGAACTTCTGGTTTAAAATGAGGCACATATATTTTGTGTGGCTATAAATCATTGCATAAAAGTAAATTGTTTCCAAATAAGGAAAGGGGTCATTCTTTTTGGCACGGATCAAAAAGGAAATAGGTTCACATAAATTGAAACGGAGGGAGTAGCAAATATTTCCCAGTGTTAGGTTGAAGCGTCTACACCAATTCCTTGTCATGATGCATCAGTTTCGACTTGGAACTCTTGGCTAAAATCCAGTAAAGTTAGAACACGTCTAAATCCCAACTTCCCCTTGTTGAGTTTTGGATTGTTGAGTTTTTTTTTTTAAGATGAAATAGTCTTAAAATGAGAGTGAATGGGAAATGGGATTTGGATTTGGATTTGGATTCGGATTTGATCAAATGATCAATCGATTGATTAATTATTTGGACCAAATTTATTTGTTAATAGTGAATATTAACGTGATATAATCCGTGTTTGTAACGGATGTTTTTAAATCAGTGTATTGTGTTGCACCAAGAAAGCAACAAGATGCCTAGTGTACCTCCCACCATGGCCAAGTGCTCCTCCCACCAAGCAAGTGTTCATTCCACCATGTAAGTGTTTCCTCCATGATATACTAATGCTTGTTCCACCATGGAGGGGGCAATTTCTCTCACATGACTGCTATAAATAGAGCAGAAGTTGTAGAGAAAGGAGAATACACCGAAAAAAAAACACTCAAAATACTCTGTATACAATTGATATACACTCTGTATACAACTGATATACACTCTGTATACAATTGATATACACTCAAACTACACTCTGTATACACTGTGTATACACTGGAAAAACGAATTGCAATCTGATATCCTCTTCATTAAGAATTCAACATCGGCTATACATTGCATTCCTTCCTCTCAGAATTTCCATTCGACTTCTGAGTTCTCCTCCCTTGTTTAGCATTGTTTTAAAACTACAAACAAAGCAACTGTAAGTGTGATTTGCTGCCGAACTTTGCGTTCGCTGAAATACTGGGGTTTGAAGTACCGCTACACCAATGTGTAATTCGTTCTATCCTGGGAGGAAATAATCCATAACCTTGGGCACTAGGAGGGGATTAAATTCCTTAAGGAAACACTGTGAATTCAGTGGGCTCGAATGAATTTTTGTTTCAGTTATATCATTTATATTTACGTATGTTATTGTTGTAGGTAGCTGATAAAGAGGATAATATATATCTAAGAGTGGAAAAGTTAAAACTTGATCTTCCATCATTCCATATTTATACCAGATAAGAAGTACTATACAGGAAACAACAACAACAAGCTTAAGGAATTTAATAATTTTAATTTCTGTATTTGTGTTACTTTTATTATTCTGGAAACTTAAAACCTTTGTGGTTTTGTGTACTCCCATTTGGAGAGTAAAGCCTTCGTGACATTTCGTTGGAGATTAAAATCTACGTGATTTTTCACTCCAGTTTTAAACGTTTGTTTGTGTCATTTTTACAGTAAAAATGGCGAATGACGGAAATCAAGATGTTCCTATGATGACTGCCAACGCATCGACAAGTCGAACTCCGGCGTTGGCACCGGCAGAGAAACCCGAAAAAATTTCCGGGATGGATTTCAAGCGCTAGCAGCAAAATATGTTCTTCTACTTGACTACGTTATGTCTACAGAAGTTCATCAAGGAAGATGTTCCTGATCTTCCAGATGAAACTCCAGAGAATGATAGCTTTCTCGTGATTGAGGCGTGGAAGCATTCTGACTTCTTGTGCAGGAATTATATTCTTAGCAGACTGGAGGATAATCTGTATAATGTATATAGTGGTGTGGAGACGTCAAAGGAATTGTGGAATGCGCTTGAAAAGAAATACAAAACTGAAGATGTCGGGATGAAGAAATTCGTCGCTGCAAAATTTTTGGACTACAAAATGGTAGATAACAAGTCTGTTATTACCCAAGTCCATGAATTACAAGTGATTATTCATGATCTACTTGCTGAAGGTATATTTCAAATGAATGCTAATGTTGAAAGTAAAATTTTTAGTAATTTTACTAATGGAATTTTCATTGAAGGTCTTGTCATCAATGAGGCATTCCAAGTAGCAGCAATAATTGAAAAGTTGCCTCCATTGTGGAAGGACTTTAAAAATTATTTAAAACACAAACGAAAGGAGATGTCCCTTGAAGATCTCATTGTTCGATTGAGAATCGAAGAGGACAATAAAGCTGCTGAAAGGAGAGGCCGTGGAAATTCAACAATAATGGGAGCAAATATTGTTGAAGATAACAAAAAGAGAAAGAAGGCTTCTGGTCTGAAATACAACCCAAGCAAGAAGCGGTTCAGTGGAAACTGCTACAACTGTGGGAAAACCGAACACAAATCTACGGAGTGTCGTGCTCGGAAGAAAGACAAGCAAAGGAGTCAAGTAAACATGGTAGAAAAGCATGATGATGTTGATGACTTGTGCGCCATGCTTTCTGAATGCAACCTGGTAGGAAACCCAAAGGAGTGGTGGATTGATTCTGGAGCCACTCGCCATGTTTGTGCTGTGAGGGAAGCATTTTCTACATATGCTTCTGCTGGACCCGAAGAGACGCTCTCTATGGGAAATGCTGCTACAGCAAAAATTGAAGGATACGGTAAGATATTTCTCAAGATGACTTCTGGCAAGGTCATGACTTTGAACAACGTCCTTCATGTTCCCGAGATTAAGAAGAACTTAGTCTCTACTGGACTTCTTGTAAAGCACGGTTTTAAGTGCATTTTTGTATCTGACAAGGTAGTGATTAGTAAGAATGAAATGTTTGTAGGAAAAGGTTACCTTACTGAGGGCCTTTTCAAGCTGAATGTAATAGTTGTTGAAACTAATAATAAAACTTCAGCTTCTTCTTACTTACTTGAGTCAAATGATTTATGGCATGTACGTTTGGGTCATGTCAATTATAAAACCTTGCGAAAAATGAT